GTCTCTTGGCCATTTGTTTTCTTTCTGAATCTTCTTTATCTTCCATGCATACATTAAGTTTTTTTTTTAATCTTTATTTATTGTTGAGAGACAGAGTGTGAGCAGGGGAGGGAGGAGCAGAGAGAGAGGGAGACACAGAATCCAAAACAGGCTCCAGGCTCCAAGCTGTCAGCACAGAGCCCGACTTAGGGCTCGAACTCATGAACTGAGATCATGACCTGAGCCGAAGTCAGATGCTACACTGATTGAGCCCCCCAGGTGCCCCCATGCCTACATTTTTAAAAGATTATTTTTTATTTAGAGTTTTGTGCTGAGCCTCAGGTCCATTAGGCTGTATTTTTCCTGGTTCTGTTCTCTATTCGTTTCTGGTGATCCCCCCACTTTTCAGTTTCATTCTTCAGGATCACTTGCGCCAAGTTGGCTCAGAACCTTGAAATTAACATCGTGCTTCTTTGTGATGAAGGAATTGAAATTACGATTTTAAGATGCTTTGAATTCCAGAGTTAAATGCCATAGAATCATTTTGGGGAATGTTTTTGAAATCATCTCTCTCAAGTCTGTGGACACATACCTGTTCTTGGCTGGCCTTCTCTCTGTGGTTTTCACACATGGAGTGAAGTGTTCCTTCTGCCCCTTCCCCAAATGAGTCAGAACTGAGTCCTCAGTTTCTCTTCTCAGTGGGAGCCTGAATGGTCAATCAAGTCAGTGTTTTGTCAGGACTCACTTTTTCAGCCAAATGAGCAGGGATCTAACTAATGTCTGCTGGCGCCCCCATCTGGCCAGGGAGCCTTCAGTGGCTCAGTGAGGGTCCATCCTCCGTTCCTGTGCCCTTCCACCTCCACCACACTCTTTCCAGCATGTTCCATCCATGTGTTTGCCACGTGTTTTCACCTAAGAGTTCATGTTCCTGACAAATACACAAGTTATCCACCTCCTGTCTGTTCTGTTTCTTTAATATCCCAAGTGCCTCTCCATCTCCAGTATTTCAGTGCTATTCTGATTCCTAGCAATATCCACGAGTTGTTACTGTTAACATAATGCCAATTAAATTGGACACGCCTGGGGCGCCTGGGTGGCTCAGTCAGTTAAGCTTCTGACTTCAGCTCAGGTCAGGATCTCGCAGTTCATGGGTTCGAGCCCCCCGTCGGGCTCTGGGCTGACAGCTCAGAGCCTGGAGCCTGCTTTAGATTCTGTGTCTTCCTCCCTCTGCCCCTCTCCCACTCATGCTTTGTCTCTGTCAAAAGTGAATAAATGCTAAAAAATTACTAAAAAAAATTTTTTTTTTATTTCTGAGAGAGAGAGAGACAGTGTAAGCTGGGGAGGGTCAGAGAGAGAGGGAGACACAGAACCCGAAACAGGCTCCAGGCTCTGAGCTCACGGTCAGCACAGAGCCCAATGTGGGGGTCAAACCCACAAACTGTGAGATCATGACCTGAGCCAAAGTCAGATGTTTAACCGACTGAGCCACCCAGGTGCCCCTAAAAAATTATTTGTAATAAATAAATGAATAGGACACACTTACCAATGATTCTCATCATTCTCCAGTGTGCGCAAGATCCTTCTGCACCTCAGGTGAAGACTGGCCCAGCCCATCCACTCACAGGTTCCTGGGCAGTTTGCGTAGTTCAGTGGTGATCGCTGTTAAGAAGGCTCGGCCGCCAGACCGTCCTTCAGCAGAGGTGGGGTTGGTTCTAAGGACGACCTGCTGTCCGCCGATGTCTTTAAGATATTCTTATTCACCTATGTCGAATCTACAATCCCTTCTCGAATCGTGCTGAGACTCTCAATGCGGGGAGAGATGATGGCATTAAAGAATGCAGGGACTTCAGTTCTTTGGCGCCAACACGATGCGCCCGGGATAAGAGGGCAGCCCAGGTGGGGCACCTGCGCCGTGACAGTTCTCAGGCAAGCCTTGATTTGGTCACCTGTCATCCGTCTCACCTGAACCTCCTCCCCCCGTTCATCACCCTGTTGTAAGAGACACGTGTCCCAGTGGAAAGACCCTGGGCTTTCCAGTGCGCTCTTGCGTTAAATCTGGAGCTTCCAGATACCAGCTGTGGGGCTTTGGCAAGTTACGTCACCTTTCTGAGCCTCCGTGTCCTCCAGAACATGTACAAAATTCTACCTGATCCCGTTTCTTTCGCTTCCTTTCCCCCTCCCATACCCATATAACATGTATGTATACCCATGTGTACATATATGTAATACAGATGTAATAGACGTTGGCATGGTAGACACTCAGTGCTTGGGGAAATAGAAGGGGCAGCTGTGAGGATGTCTTTTAACTCACTTCTCTGGATCCTTTCCTCTCTGACTAGCGTAGAAACAGCCTTCCTGTAACTCCAGCTTCTTCGCAGAATTCTCTATATGTTTTCTTTCTCTGACTGAACAATCTGCTGTGAGCCTTCAGTCCCGAAGGCTGTTTCTCTTCTCCCGTCGTACCCCCCGTAGGGTAAGGAGTACGTAATGGTACCTGGCTTCCACCCTTGTTTGTAAAGTCCCTTTCGCATTGAACCCCATGCCAGTGAGCTCTGTCATGCCTTGTCACTGTTTGGCTACCATCTGTGGCCATCTCTTTTCTGAGGATTTTGGAATCTACCCGTTCAAATAACCTAGCACCCCGGTTCACTGCATGTAGAGTTTGGCCGCTGTGAGCACCCCACTTCTCCTTCCTACGTAACTGTGGGTTCCCCCTGTGCCCCTTTTCATAGCTGCTGCCTGTACAGGTCTCTCCACACGTTGAGCAGAACAAATCCATGCTCTCTTGTGCCCCCGGCTCTTTGCTAGGCAGTAGGGATTGAGAAGGTCCCTGCCCTCACTGAGCTTCAGTTCTTCTAGAAATCCTTTCTCTTTCCTGTAAATGTGTCCCTACACCCTTTAAACAATCGCAAGCATTTCCCATCCTTAAAAATACGGCTTTCTCCTCCCTGCATCCCTGTCAGCCACCACCCACCCCCTCCCCTAGCCGTCGCTCCTTCCTTCCCCTGAAGAACCTTTTTCCCACTGCAGTTTGTGCCTGTCACTGTACGAAAACTATTCATTGGTGAGAAATCCCAAATATCACAGCCACTGAAAATTTGCAGTTCTAATTTTGACCTCCGTGCGGCATTACTGGAAAATACCAACACTTCTTCCTTAAAGATTCTCCTTTCCCTTTGCTGCCATGACCCACCCCCTGCTTCACTGGGTGACACTTTCTCCCCAGGCTCCTTCAAGTCCTTCTCCTCTGTCTGCTTCTCATTCTGTTCTGTCTGGAGTGTTGCTCTTTCCTATGGCTCTCTGCTCAGCCATCTTTTCTCTCTCCCTGCACGCTTCCTGGGTGATGGTAAGCAGATCATTGTGTTTATTCCCACTTTTACTCAGGTGTCTGGAAGCTGCCTCCGCCCCAGCAGGCCCAGCGTGGAGCGTTCATTGGCCCTGCCCTTCCCCTGCACCCTCTCCTTCTGCTGCACCTCTCCCCTGCACCCTCTCATTATCCTCTACCCTCTCTTCCTCCTATAGCCTCTCCCCCTCTCCTGCTCTCATAGTCAAAGACTTTCATCTTGGCTTTTCCAAACTGTAACAGTTGCTTGGCTTTTAAAAATCTTTAACTTTTTATTTGCATAAAATATACAGGGATCCAGAGATAAATACATCATAATCTCTGTCCTTGGGAAACTCTTGGTCAAGGGCTTGTAAACAAATGCATCCCAAGCCTGTGGGCAGATGTACCAATGGAAGCAGGTGCCATCTGTTGGGCCATCCAGGTGTGAGATAAGGTGGCTGTTGATAAAGGTGGTTCTGTTCTCACTGTTCTCCTACTGACAGCCTGGGCATCTTCCAGTAACCTGACCTTTATTCAATTAAACTGTGGCAAGAGAGATTTTGCGGGGGGCGGGCGGGAGGGCGAAGCCCTACCCAATATGCATACAGGGTTGATTTCTCTGACACTCCTAGTATCTTTATAGGTTAAACAAGGCCTAACTCAAATAGACCTGAGCCTACCCACAAAATTAGTCCCGGACACACCCAAAGCTCACATATCTTGATTCTCTAATTACAGATTCAGTATTCTGTAACATTATCAACATGATCGGAGTAAGCAGATCTAAAAAATAGACTCTAAAACAGCAGCTCAAATATTTCTACCCATTTAAACGAGAGTTACTGCTAGACCTGGGACAGGGTGGCCAGCTTGTTCCCTCTTGTCCCCTTCTTTGCCCTCTGCACCCCTCCTCCCCACATGGCCTCCACCCAGGCCTGCATCTCACAGCCTTGCCCTTCGAGAGAATCGTCTCTTCCAGCAGGTGCCCAAGACAAATAGAGATTCCGTAGATGCATCAACCCCACTTCTGGCGGTTGCTCCCATAGGTTGTCTCCCTGTCCGTGAACTTGGGCTCACCTGGATGACAGGCAGCTGCCACCCGATAAAATGTTAGCCCAGCAGAAGGGAGTGGGGGCCATGCTTCAGCAGACTGTGTTCTCAAGGGGCTTGTGGGGTGCCGGTGAAACTGCTGGCCGGGAGGCAGGAGACCAGGGTTGTCCTGCAGTCGGCGGCTGCGCGTTGGCTTCGCTTACTTGGCCCGGCTTTCTTGACGCTACAGTGTGCACGGGCCTCCCGGCGGGTAAGTCTTCTGCACGTGCCCACCCAGCTCTGTGCAGGGCTTCCTTGGTTTCTCACCCAGGCTCTGGGTTAGCGACATCGTTGGAGGCCCACCCACCCCCACTGTGCCTCCTCCTGTTCCCTTCCATCCAGTCCCGTCGTGAGTCTGCGTCTGCGTGTGCCCTTTCAGCCGACTGCATCCCAGGACAGCAGGAGCTCCTCCATGCGGCCAGGGACTCGCGTGGGGCCCCTGCTTGTCACCTTGTCCCCGTGTCTGGGCATGCTGGCCTTCAGCACGTGGCAGCCCGGTGTCCGATGGCGGGGGTGGTTCTCCACAGTCCCTTCAGCCTGGCCGTGCCCTGGGTGCGGGGCACTGGCGTTTTTCTGCTGTCTCACATCTGCTCATCTGTCTTTTCAGGAGCCCAGCAGCCGGGGCTGCCATATTACACGGACCCCGGAGGACCAGGGCTGAATCCCGCCGGGAACCCCATGGCGATGGCTTTCCAGGTCCAACCCAACTCACCCCAGGGAAGCACGGCCTACCCGCCGCCCCCTTCTTACTGCAATACGCCCCCGCCCCCGTATGAACAGGTGGTGAAGGCCAAGTAGCAGGGGCACCTGCCTGTGCGACCTCACAGGGGAACAGAGAGAGGCGCGTTCATTCCACCTCTCTGTCCCCATCAATGTTCACTTCTGGGAATTGTCTCCTGAGCCACTAAGGGCAAGTTCCTCTTTGATTCCTTCAAATCAAGCACAGCCCCCTTTCACTTGTTCCGTGGAAGACCAATATTTGAATTCACCCCGTGTCTCTGTTACTTCTGTTTCTGGTGTAATCTGAGCTCTGGCAGAGTGTGGACAGTCCCCGAGGGCTGACACCTTAGATCCTGGGGGGAGAGACTAAGGAGGCGGAGGAGGCGGGGCTGGTGCGTGCCGGTGAGCACAGGTGAGCACACGGAGGGCCGCTGCTGGCCCCGACAGCCTCCTCCCAGGCAGCTTGCGGAAGTGAGGCCCCACGGGGCCCACCCTTGTGCCCCTCGTCCTGTGGGTCTTCCTCTTCAAGAAGCAGTTAGACTTGTGGTGTAGAAGAAGCCTTTTAGCCCTTTCTGTCTCCGCTCACTTCCTAAAGATGAGAGAGGCTGCCCTCCTGCACAGCCACGGCTGGGAGAGCGCTCCTTCTCCTCAAGGAGACGATGATCCGGAATCAGGCCAAGTTGGATGTCTGCACTTCCCCTGAAAATCGCTAAGGAAAGTGCTTTATATTTATGAGGAATTGATCGAATTGCTCTCTGCCTCAAACTGGGACATTGCACTTCATGAGCTCTTGGTTTGATGTGGCAACAGTAAAATGTTTCCCTGTTTTTTAGTGAGTTTGTGGAAGCTCCTGTAGAGTCCTGTCCTTTGAGGTCAGATTGAGAGTGTCTTCCCTGACCGTCAGCCGCCCTCTGGCTATGTTCCGACCACAGGTCTCCATGGCCTTCCCAGAGGCAGCCCTAGAGGTGGGCTGTGACGGATAGCTTGCAAAGCAGAGAGAAACCGCCGGCTGGGAAGTCACATCATCCCCTGGGACAGAGCTGTCCCAGCAGGCCGGGGCCCTAGTTTGTTTGATCTCAGCAGGAGTGCGTGTCTGACTCTGACGAGGAAAGCTTGCTGGGGGGAAAAAAAAAAGAAAAAGACCAGGAACGCGAAATCCCAGGACTGCAGGCTGATCTCTGCAAACAGCACCTCATAGGTTTCACTGACAACTCAACCAACATTAGAATAGAAGGTGTGGTGGGAAATGCAAACCCTGCCTGAGAAACGATCTACCCCTGGGATCCCGCAAGCGGTGAAGCTGACCGTGCATTGAAACCCAGACTGAGATCTGACGGCTTGTTATGTATAGGAAGGCAAAGGTGGGTAGGTCCCTGTGCTGTAGTAGTGGGTTTTGGGGGGGCAGGGCGGGGGACCCTTATTTTTGTACGAGCTGATTGGAGCCTCTTGAGAAATTGTTACTCATTGAACTTGAGCATCAGAACATCTCGCTGGAGTGGATGCTGAGTGTTTTCATTCCCCCAGATCAGAGGTCCCTTTCCTACTGGGATCTCTGTATGGGGAGGGTGGGGGGCCACAGCGGCGCTCTGCTATACCTTCCTCTGAAGATGGAGAATCTGCCCACCTCCCAGGGGGTTCCACAGGAAGCGCTTAGAGCCACACGAACACCCTTGGAAACACAGTTTATAAACCCAGATGCTGCTGCTGGGGTCTCTCAGCCACCCTCCGTGACCTCCGAACTCCTGGACTCCGGCTCCTCCCACACTCGAGTCCTGGAGTCCCGGGAGACAGGAAAGCACAACGTTGCCCTTTGCAACCAAGGACAACCACAGGGGTCCAGAAGGTTCCCCTTCCTCCAGGTCTTGTGTTTTGCATTTTTAATTTGAATGTCTCCCTTCACTTTTTTTTTTTTTAAATCAGGCAGCACAGGAAGAGATGCCCCTGGAATTGGATCCGGGTACAGCTGATGGAGACCCAGATATCCATGACTTAATTTTATCTTTTTTGATAGCAAATGATCTCAGAGACTGGATGACTTAGGTAGTGCGCAATCGCTTTGTATTCTGCGTGCGTGAGGTTAAATTCCGTTTTCCCCTTGAACCTGGACGAGAACCCCGCTACACTGAACCCCAGTACTGCGCATAGACATTCCACTCGTGGGGACGTTTTCCTGGCCGTTCTCATTTCCCCTGTGCTGTCAGTGGACCGTGTCCCCCTCCCGGACTAGTCCAGCTCCTGGCGTGTTGATGTCTTAGAGAGTCCGTGGTTAGGAGTAACTGGGAGCCGATCTGTGCGTGTTCTCTCTGCAACATTTGGCTCCTTTCTCTTTTTTGTTCTCTTTTGATAGGGTCCCGTTTCCTATGTCTGCAAAATAAAAAGTAAATTTGGGCACGTGCTTTGATTGTTTGGCTGGGACGTGGGAAAGCGGGTGGAGATGATGTTTCTCATGAGGAAAGGCATACAGAGGGTCCTGCTTCAGTGGGGGTGGGGTGGGGCGGGTGACACACTCAACCTCAGGAGCCCCAGAAATTAGATGCTGTCAAAGAACATAAGGAACGTTTGGTGCACCAACACATTTGAAAAGTTTAGCTAAGGAAAAAATGATCCGAAGACAGAAGCATCAATTAGCTAAACTCACAGGAAATACCATCATGAGTTATCCGAGGGGCTGGGTCTGCTTCCCATAGGTAGCTGAGCCTTGACTTTAAAAGTGCTGCTCCGCGGGGCCAGTTCTGTATTTCTGTCACAGATCTATCGAAGGAAATAGTTGCTTCAGGCAGTCTGCATTTTAGATGAATCCTTAATTGAGATAATGTTTATAAAGAAGCATTTTGTCTGAAAGCGGGACAAGAAATAAGCCAGAAGAGGTCAAGCAGCTTGCTCCCGGTGACGTCTGGGCAAATTTACACACCTTACCTGGACACCTCACCAGGTAGCCAGACTTCCCCCAGTAAACTGGAAGCAGGCTTATGTACAAGTCCAAGGTCATGACTTGAGATGGCAAACTGAGTGACTGAGTGCTCAATTTGATCTGTTCCTCCCAGATTTCACCAAACCTCAAAAAAAATCTATAACGGCTCTCACAGCGAAAAAGCGCAAGAACAGAAATCCCGAGCGACTTCTGAAGTAGAAGACGGTGGGTAGGGTTGATTGGTGGAGAAAACAAGTCTGAGAAGACATGAAGCTGGGAATGTTAAGAGAAGGTGGCTGGGCAGGAGATAGCCTTACAGAGACTCCGCAGGAAGGCCAGCAGGTGCGGAGGCCGAACACAGCCAGGGGCCCAGGCCCAGGTGTGGGCCTGACAGTGTTCTGGAGAGCAGCTCTGCTGGGGAGCTGTGACCCTCTGCCCCTGGCTCCCCGCTCAGGGGAGCAGCTAGCCGCAGGAAGTGATGGCCCTGCGTTCACACATAGGGGGCGCTCTGTGTCGTAAGGTGTTGGGAGGTAGGCTAGTGGTATCATCATTTCACTTTCACAAGTGAATTAGGTGTTTTCTAATGTATCAGTCAATTACAACATTCTTAGTCTGGGCTACCATCCCTTTCCCCCAGTCCCTGGACCTTGATCCAAGGCCCCAGGGAGATCCCTTGCAAAGTAGAGATCCAGGGACGTGGGAGAAATCACGACCCAGCCACTGGCACCACAGATCTGGAAGTTTTCTCTGGCACCAGAGGAAAGGAGCTCAGCCAAGCTGTCTCCTGACTTGCCCTACACCAGTCTTTCCACCCAACTGGGCAAGCATCTCTCAGCTAAAAATGTCGCTCCTTAATAGTCTGTGTTCTCAACTTCGAATATTCTTTGAATGCCAAAGAGGAGAGCACAGAGTAGACGTGATGGCAGCCCACGCGGGTGTGACTACGCGTCGCGGGATCACGGCCAGACTGTGGGCTCCGAATATGTACACACAGCCTTGCTTCAAGCCCTGAGCCTGCTATTTGTGAGCTGTGTGTCTTCAGACAAATGCCTTCAGTTTCAATTGCTCAAGTGATCTCAAGTCTGTTTGCTCAACTATAAAACAAGAAATATACTACCTGTTGCTTACACCAGGCTCATCCCAGGCACACTGTGGATGTTCACCAAATGTTTAAAATCCCTTCTTCTCCCTCATGCTACATTTCCTTGAGCAAGAGAAATTGAAGCACAGTGGGAGAGAAAATGAATGCCCACTTCGTCCTTCGTCCACCTGTCAGCAGGTGAGACCCGGGGTGTAGGGGTGAAGGTCTTTGAATACATTCTCCATGTATTTTCCACCTTTCAGACAGACCTTGATTACATGAAGATGACAAAAGATGTCCCATACACCACCACCCCACATCACCTTCCTGCTCTCCTCTTAAAATGGTGTGTGTTGCTCAGTAACAGATGTTGAGCCAGTCAGAGCTAAGAAGGAGAAACCTTGGGCAACCTTCTTTTTTCCTCACCATCGAGTTTAAGAGATTGGTGAGCACCCCAGAATAAGCCGTGAATGATAAGCAATCGATTATAAGCAATCCTGTTACTTTGGGCGCCACTTTTGCTCTCCCCTGACCCCCCACAACTTCTTACTGTAAGGTTCCTGGTTGGGATTGGCTTTCTTGGCGCTGGCCAGGAGAGATCCTGCTCCATTTCTGGGCACACAGCCCCCCTAAAAGTGTGGTGGGTGCAGGGATGATTTATCAACACGCCTCCCTCCCCACCGCCACCCCTGAAGAAGGGTGAAGGGAGGGAGTCCCAAGAGCGCGGGTCCCAAGAGTGTAATGAGGAAGGAGGAATGTCACTCCATCCTTTTTCATCAGTAGCAGGAAAGCTGCAGAGTTGCTTCCGTCTCTCTGTCTCTGGACTCGAGAGATCACTGTCCACCCCGAGGCCGCTGCAGACCTGGTACTTTTAGACGCCTTTAAATATTCTAGTCCCGCATCATCCAACAAAACGTACCGGGAGCCAGATATGTTACATTAAAATGTCAGTAGCTCTGCTAAGAAAGAACAAAAAGTGGAATGTATTTTCATATTTAACCCAACAAATCAAACTACTAATCATTCCAACATGTAACAACAGAAAGTTTATTAAAAAGAAATGCTGATGTTCTTTTTCCCCCCATCGTCCAAATCCGGTGTGAATGTTATACTCCCTCCACAATCCATGTGGAGCAGCCACATCTCAAGTGTGCGAGAACTCCACAATGCTCATGACTATGCTATTATGAAGTGTGGGGCAAGAGTGAATAAGAAAATGCTCAGCCCTGCGGCTCCTGGGTGGCTCGGTTGGTTGAGCATCAGATTACTGATTTCAGGTCATGATCCCGCGGTTCAAGGGTTCAAGCCCTGCGCCTGGCTCTGTGCTGATGGCGCGGAGCCTGCCTGGGATTTTCTGTTTCTCTCTTTCTCAAAAATAAACATTTAAAAAAATGCTCAGCTCTTACGGTCTTGCTGGTTATTTTTAATTATTAAAAAAGTTGAAGGTAAAAGGCAGGCTCCTGTGGCAGAGTTTGTAACTTCTGGTGAACCAACACAATTCTCTAGACCTCCGACATTGCAGATCCCAGTTACAAAACAGCCCAGTTACAAAACAGTTACAAGTCAGTCTCGGGAGCTGAAAGCTTGAATTGCTCCTTGGCACTCTGGGCCGAGTGTGAGGGTTGCTGTGCTCTGTTGCAGCCCACTGCTTCATTCCGATCTCCAAAGGTGCTGGCTGGTCAGCCCTGAGCCAGCATCCAGGAGCTGCTGAGGAACACCCAAGACGAGAGAGAGACAGCATGTTTCATGGGGCCTCAGAAGTGCTCCCCAAATCACGTGTTCCTGGCCTGATCGGTGGTGCCAGACCAGCCCCGAGGCCACCTGCCCCGGGTGTGTGCCCAGCCACAAACCCATCGCTCCGTGGGTTCTCACCAAGGTCTCCAAGGACACTCTGATTTCTCTGGAAGGAGCAGGTTGTTATCAGCAACGGAAGGAGGACAAGGCAACCTTTCCACCGCTTCATGCCTGTCGTTGTCAGGAAGAACTTTCCAGTGTTGACAGTGTGGATGCACAAAGAGCTCTAAGATACAGATTGCAGAGATCCTGCCCTCCAGCCAGAGGATTCGTCCCTAAAACCCTGCGGGCCACTGGAGTGCCCTTGGACAAGCTTCTCCTCTCAGATGTGACCGGGTTGTCCTAAAGGTGTCTAGAACCTCCTCCACGTGACCTCTGTGACTGAGCCCCAGAATACAGGTACAGAGGTGGGTAGAGATGAGGGGGATGGGATTGGGATCAACAGAGGGCTCCCCTCTCCTGGCGGAGGCCGGCTGTCCCCAAAGGCCATGCTGTCCGTTGCTTCCCCTGCCAGCACAGACCCAGTGGGGAAAAGCCCTCTGTGGGAGCACTGGCCTGAGCACTCTGGTCTCCGCACGCGCCGCCGTCGCTGTGCTCCCCTGGGGAGACGCGCCGCAAAGCCAGGGACCGCCCTTCCGGGAGGCTCCTATCCCTCACGGAGGCTCGGAAGCCGAGCAGGGATGGTCTGCTGGGCTAGAGCCCTGAAGGGGTGTCTCGGTTCTGGCAAGTCGTGGGGAGGGCGCGTCCCGTGGCCGCCTTACAGCTCCCTGGCTCCCTTCATCCCCTTCTGGTCCAGGTCTCTGCCCTTGTGCTAGCCCCACACCTGGGAAGGACGCCCTGGGCGCGCTGACCTTGAAATTCAGTTCTCTCTTCCCGTCTTCTGCTCCCCCCATCCCACCCCCCATCATTCCCGTCATGAGGCCTGAAAGCCAGGCCTCACCGCCCTCTGGCAGGGGCGAAGGCACCGGCTTTGCGCTCTAGCACACAGGACTCGGGTGGACAGACGTTCTTGGCGCGCGCCCAGTCCTGGAGAGATCCGGGGCCCAGGCGGGACCGAAGTGTGAGGCTGAGGGGCGGGAGGCAGGGCCGGCCCCTGGGTGCTGCGACCCAGGGTCATCAGCCCCCGGCTGGGGTCCTGGGAGCTACGGATGTCTCCGTTTCCCGTTGTGGAAGTGGAGCTACGTAGGCACACAGGGGCGGGGTGAGGATGAACCGCGCGGAGGAGGGTGGCAGGAGGGCCCAGGAGGCAGGCCGGCCCCACCCACCCGGCGGAGCTGGCGGCCCGGGCTTCCCGGAGGAGGCTGCACGGGCCTGGGGGCGGGGCCGGGGGCGGGGCCGGGGGCGCCCGCGGCCACCCTGCTTGGCGCCCGATGACAGGTCCCTGCTAGTAATTTTCATCCAAAAGAAACCAAACCTATGGCTTTATTTCTTAATCCAAGTACGAAAGTAACACGTGCGCAGTACGGAAAATGTAGACGGAACAGGAAGACACCAAGGAGGACAATCTGGCCACTGCCCGGAGATGACAGTTGGGTGTGTCCCCGCGGCTTTCTAGCTGTCCTGCTTCCACCCCGCGATC